GCTAACGATTGCAAGCATTTAAAACCTGTTCCAAACACTGTAAGGCACTTTTACAGGAGCGAAAAAGGACTTCGCAAAGCCATTGAAATGTATTGAGTCGGCTTCAATACATTCCAATGGAGGAAACATTGTTTCACTCAACGATGTTTCCTATGGGTTTTTTCACTTAAAGACGGCAATCTGTTCCAATTGGAACGGATTAACCGGTTTTCAATTCATTCCTATGGGAAATGGTGTTTCACAGAACGATGTTTCACACAACGTTGATTTTTTTTGAACCAATTAACATCGTTGTGTGAGGCACCACTGTACCTCCGATCACCACCTCTGCCACATTTATATAAAATGGCATTTTTAATGGTATAAAGTCATCCCTTCTCAGAAAATACAGTTTTTTTCCTCCTCCCAAAGGGCCTGTTTCTTATACATACATACACTCTAACTTTACTATCCTGCTTTGAAAAGTGAAAGAAATTATTTAACAAGGGCTATAGAACATATAAGGTGAGCTGTGACCACGCAGAAGAGTTTACAACCCTCTTGGAGGTCACCACCCCCAGGCTGGGAAATAGTGCTCTAGAGAGAGCCCTTTGCAGGGATCTGCACTAACTCCAAGGAAGTGCTACACTTGTATTTAAATAAAATATAATAATGTATTTATCTGGCATCTGAACATGAAAATAACAGGACTTTTGAGATTTCCCAGTTCCAGTGGAATTAGATTTTCTTTTTAATACTAGGCTGGGTCATCTTATGCAGTTCTTGATTGTGACCACAGATTAAAATCGGGTGGAGTGAGGAGATAAAGAAATACTAGGCAAAACAGAAATAATTAACATTTCAGCACATTTCAAATGTTCTCCCCACTTCTTAAATTAGGGATGATCTTTGTTCTAAGACATTTGCAAACAAATGGATTGAATTGGTCATAGCAAGGAAAACTGCACATGCACTTCATTCACTTCCATTGTAATTCAGATAATGGGGGAGGATTACCGGTTATAGCAAAATTAGATATATAGATATGTATGAAGTTTTATATTATGAACAGAATTTGGCTATATTTACATGTATGTTGCTTCCACAGAGATGGGTTTTGGATAGAATTTTAATCGCCACTGCAGGATTTTACAAATAGTAAAAAACTTAGATCTGCATGTAGCAATTATAATAACTATTCCCAGGTAGCTCACTAAGACCCACAAATAAAATCCTGTTCAAGTTGGAAGGGCTGTGTTAGCCCCATTCCTGCTGCAGGGAGAAGTGTGTTAAGTGATATTGCATGTTCTTATCACCTGTTGTTAAAGTTTCTGGAATCCATTTCTAGACCACTATTTTAGGAATGCTAGGTTAATATGAAAGTAAGAGTACTATACGTGTAACATGTTTCGGCCAATATTAACAAATACATTTAAGAAGAAGGGCATTTCTATTGTTGATTTGCCTGTAAATTATGCACTTCTTGAACGTGCTCTGTTGTTTAGCTGTAGGCAAAGGTAAATGTCCAGTATTCATTATCCTGTTTTGAACAGGAAATAATGTGAGGTAACCTACAAGCAGGAGCCTGTCTATAGCATCCTATGACATGTTCCGCACATTATAGCCAGAGGAAGAGCAACTGAGAGGTTGAATAAACCTCTCTTCCTCTGGACCTGGCAAATGGAGTAGGGATGCACCATGACCTGTTTGGACTTTTCACACAGAGTCAGAGCAATTCGACTCATTCTCAGTCTTTGAGAGAATTATGAAGTAATTATAGCCCACTTTTTAGTTAAGTATTGAATTCTCCCTTTTCCCTGTGGAATAATTCCAGAGAGATTTGTATTAACCTTAGGTGTACTTTGTAGGTTTACTAGTATCCCATTTTCTGTTAATGTGTGTTAAATTCCTGAACTAGGATTATATTTTAAGGAGCCCTTTATTATTAAAAGTATAAAAATATGGATTTGGAAGTCCTCTTACTTAAGAAGATGGATCAGCTCCAGATCAACCTAGCCCAGGAAGTTAAACTAGTATTCTGAGAACCAGCAGGCTCTAGGTAGTCCACAGGAAATCTCTAAAATACAGTCCATCACTAGATTGAATTGACCTATGATTTTTTCCCAGTGAGCCTATCCATTTCCTTCATGCATGCTATGAAATGTACTTTTATTTAAATTGAAATATTAATAAAATATAGCTATTAATGTTTAATTAATTAAACATTGCTTGCAATTTAGAACTACAGTCTGTATATCTCAATTGGGGAGAGCATGTGAGAGAGGCTGTAAGAGGTTTATCTGGTACACCACAACATCCAGGACAGGATAGTGTTGGCATGAGAAGTAACCACATGATAACCTTCATCCCAGAACCTTTATTACTTGAACAGTACGGGAAGCAGACACAGGAAAGTAGTAACTCTTAATCATCAATACATTTTAAAATTAAGAACTAGCTTAGAAAGGTGGTGGTGATGAAATATTAATATTCACCTGTTGTGTAGTAAATTAAAGAAAGCAGTACAGTTTTAATACTTAATTCCAAGATGATAAATGAGAGATAGTTGATGACTTTGTTCAGATAACTGTCTGTCACTACATTAAATTAAATATAAATGACTTCTTCTATCATTCTGTGTTTCCTTCTTTCCTGGACAGTGGTTTCTGCTAGGAGGCAAAAATAAATGCTTAGATAACTTTCATGTTAATTTCTCCAGTGACTTCTAGCAAAAACAAACAAACAAAAAAAACAAGCCAACAGAGCACTCAGTCCCTGAGAATCATAACCTTTTCTGCTGGTCCTATTTCAATTAAAGGGAAAATGAAGTACTAAAGATTAGCTATTGCAAAACATCTTACGTGGCAGCATGATGATTTGCATGTGTTACAGAAGTCCAGGAAGTGACCATCGCCTGCTTCATGCTGACACATGTTTATGTGCCCTTTAAAGGACTTTGGGAGGAGAGAGAGAAAAAATTAGCTTGTTGCATTTATTAAAAAGAAAACAACTAATAGGACCATTGCTAATAGCTACAGCTTCTGTGAAATGGAATGTTTTTCACATAAATGCATGATACTCTGGATTGGATCTAGTGAAGTGCTGTACTTTATTGTATTCTTGAGTTAGAATATACTTCCAGGAGAAAGGAACTTGGTTGTGTACCGAATGAACTTAAAAATAATCTGTGTATTAGGATGGCCAGCTTACAATGGTAATTTTACTCTGCTTTCCTTAACAAGCTCTGAGTCTGAAACTGCCAAGGTGGAGCCTTTCCTTACAGCACTATTAACTTTTATATTGATTTTTTTCTTCTAAACCATATTTACTTGCAGGTTTTCTTCACCCCACTATATAATTTTTATAGCATGATTATGTCAATGACAAGGGACAATTTAGATGATGAGATTTCATATGTTTCATGTAGCATAGAGATGTCTTAGCTTGTCTAAAAGAATAGGAACCTGACATATAAGGAAGTCTGAAAAGTGTTAATGAAGGGGGGGTTCATAAAGCAAAAGCATGAAATAATGTTGTTTAATCATTATTGTTTTTGTTTCAGTAATTCTTTAAAATTAAGAACTGAAGAAGTTACTCATATTGACAGTGGATGAACACTCCAGACATATGCACCTGTTAGTTAAGAAGAATAAATTGATAGATAGTGCACCACAACTGATTTTTTTTAAAAAAAGAGAAACTACTGTATTAGGGAACATTTGGAGACGATTTGTGACCAACACTTAAAAACAAAAACAGAATTTCAGTTTAATCCAGTAAAGAAGGTGAAGCTAATACACAAAAGAAGAAAGATAGAATTAGAGTTGAAAAACATAAGAATGAAAGATAACTATTGATGATAGGAAAAAGGAAACAAAGAAGAATTATATGAAAGAAAGCTTTGATATAAGACTAATCTACTCATGTGGCTTTGGAAGAAATGTAAGATAGGAAAAGAAAGATGAACTCCAAATGCTATTTTAAACAACAGAACACTGCTTTTTCTGAATATACACACTGAGAAGATTAAAAAATGGGTTAGAAGACAGGAACAAACAAGAGGGATATACATTGAGTAAGAAATGAAGATGAGAGAGTGCAAAGGAAATGGAGAACAAATTTAGGAAAACTAAGAACTACATCTGTACTTGAACCTAAAATAGAAAAAGAGATCAAAGAAGAAACCAAGGAAACACTGGTGACAAGAAAACAAAATTGCAATACAGGAAGCTTCATCAAGAAACTTATATCAATGAGCATTATATATTTGGGGGCTTGTAGTTCACCAAAGAAATAAGTGAGAGATTTTTGGATAGCAAATAGGTATTTCCAGGCAATAATGTGTAGTAAGACCATCATTCTGGAAAGTGCGAGGAATCATGTCTAAAGTATACATTCCTCTGTGTCCCCCCCCCCCATGTGTGGAGGAAATGAAGACCCCAAAATATCTTTCAGAAACAATAATAAAGGAGAAATAGTCGGGCTTGTTTGAGAAAAACACAGGGATACTATTTCCTTTGTTGTTTCCTTTTTATTTGCCCAAACGTGGTAAATTCCCTTCTGTCCTTCATCCCACTTTTCTTCCTCAAGATGAAAGAATGATGTGGCAGCCCCAGAGGTTCCCAGATCACGGACATTATTTGCACGTCTTGTCTTTTATTGGTGGTTCTCAGAGCTTTTGGCTCTGCAGAATGACCACTGAATAGATTGAAGAAGGAAGCTTAATTCTTTCCTGATTGCACCTTCACCTTTGATGCCTCTAACTTCAGTTATTAAGTAACAATACAGTATAATAAGATGGTATGCCAGGAACACAAAACAGAACTTGTCAACATTTGAGATTCCAACTCTTATCCTTTTCAGTAGTGTTGAAATCACCATTAAGAAGACAGGAGAATGCAGAATAGAACATTTAGTACAAGAATAAGCAAAATAATTAGCATGAAACTGAAAAGCATCCAAGAATAAGAAAGGAAGTTAACTTTCAAGTTAAAGTGTTAGAAAACAAGTGCCAGAAAAGTGATTGAAACAACACAGAGATAAAAGAGGATAAAAGTAACACAAAAATAATAAGAAGTAAAAGGAAAAACATGAAAAGGTAAGAGAAAAGAAAACAGAGTTAAATGGGAGAAGGCAAGAAGACCAAGCAAAATCATAGTGGGAGTTCACTTCCAAATGAAGAGTTCCATATCTTAGTGAGCACAAGAAATGAAATAAATTGAGATGGGAGACTATAAAATATGGCCCCTTTTTCTGAATGGCAGTAATGTATCAAAAATGTGCCAGTAATTTAAATGTGGTATAAACAGTATTGAGAGGAGAAATATAGGAGATTCTGGGGTTATGCAAGATGTCATTAGCACCCATGTTTTTAAAAGTCACAGAAAATGGCAGAAGATGAGTAGAAGTAGATGGCCCAAAAGTAAAACTGTAAAATGAGTGCTAAAATACTAAACTGTCATGAACATAAAAATGCATGGGGATGCCCCTGTCCTTGACATGAAGCCTGTAACTGGAAAATACAGAGCCCCCAAAAAACAGCCATTATGATGCAGTGGATAAAGTGATGGACTAGGACTCAGGAGATGTGGGTTAAAATCCCTGTTCAGCCATGGAAGCTCACTGGTTGGTGGCAATAGAAAAACCACACCCCTTAAATATCTAACTCCTATTAAAAACTCTATTAGACGTGACTTGTTGACACATAACAAGAAAATACTACCGAAGATTTCATCTTACAATTGAAATAGGACATATCTTTGTACAATAGGAGATGTGCAACAATTGTAATTTGTACCATTTTCTCAAGAGAGACATGATGAGGAAGCAAGGAGGCTCAAGAGGGAAACTTTTAATCTCCATAAACAGCTGTGTGGGATTTCTAGACCTCTGCATCTAGTGGGTGCAAAAAGGCAGTCCCAAATGATTGCATGTTTTACAGTAACCTGTCTAAGGCAACCATCTTTGATAGCAGTGTATCTCAACAAAGGTGAGCATACGCAGCTTCTGACAAGTTGATATTACAAAGCAGACTTGCTTATTAAACAGCTTGTCCTCAAAAGTGATGATTTAATTATGGCTAGGTTGTATCTCTACTACACAGCTATAGGTGTTTTATACCAGCCTAACTGCCATAGATATTTCCTACAGAATTGTGGAACTGACAGTTTGGTGAGGAACTTCAAATTTTGTTAGAGAGCTACCATGTTTCCCTGAAAATAAGACAGGGTCTTATATTAATTGTTGCTCCAAAAAAACACATTAGGGCTTATTTTCAGGGGATTTTTTGATGTACAACAATGTACATTTATTCAAATACAGTCATGTCATCTTCTGGTTGCTGGACAATGCTGCACAATAGTGGAGGGCGGGGTTTCACTTAACTGGAGCTTATTTGGGGTAGGGCTTATATTACGAGCATCCTGAAAAAATCATACTAGGACTCATTTTCAGGTTAGGTCTTGGCGAGATGTTACTAATAACAGCTGCGTGCATCACGCGAAGCTGGGTGACTGGACCAGGATGGTTTTGGGGGAGGGAACAGACTTCACGCTTCAAATTCATATCCCTAGGGACACTAATTTCATTGTTCTTACTGTATAAATTGATAAAGAGATACTGCAAACATTTCATCTTAATAAAAATGAAATCATGGTGTGGGAATGTTCATTTTATAGTGTTCTGAATTTTTTAGATTTACATATATCTGTGTAGAGTTGCAGTATTTACTTATTGTAACAATAATGGTATACAGGTATTATATAACCAAAACAGGCATTCTCTTCCAGGAAGCACAAAGAACATTATAATGCTTCAGTAATGAGAATGGTACCAACATAAGTGTGTGTCTTCTTCTGGAAGCTGGTTTCACATGGTGGCTTAGATTTTTCCATCTCAGTATCTAGCACCATTTGAAATCAGTGTTCTAGGAGCAAGAATTACGGCACTAGATTTGCAGACGAACTGGACTCAACAACATAGTAGTCACCAAATGGTAAAATCTGATAGTTTTTATTGCCTTTCTAATAATAGAGTGTCTGAAGCTGTAATTTATGTTAGTTTTAGAGTACAACAATATTTATGGTAGCATTTTGAGATGAGCATGAATTAAAAAAATGAATCACCAAATCTGTTCAGATATTGCTAATTCATTGATTCATATGAATCGGTGCCCCCCAACAAATACAAATCAACAAATTTTAGTGATTTTGATTCATCTATCTATTTGGCTATAAAACACCCCTCCAGCTATTTAGAGACACCAAAATTGCAGATAAGATTCCTCTGATTCTCCTCTACAATCCCTCCATGTGTGGTGAAGACTGGGTTTCAGATGTACAAATTATACACCCACAAAGAGGGGCCCCCAGGAAAGTTTCCCCCAGGCACCTAGAGACACCAAAAATCACAGAGATGCTTCTACTGACTCCCCTATACTATCTCTACAAGTTTGATGAAGATTGGGTTTCCCCAAGCCAGCTGCTAAAGGGCCGATTCCTGGGAGGATCCACTTTATGGGTGTATAACTCAGACCAAAATCCAAACTTTGGTCTCCTGGAGGGAACTTGCCTAGGGGAGCTTACTTGTGGGTGTATAACTCAGACATCCAAAATCCAAACACCACCAAATTTGCAGGGCTTGTAGAGGAGAAGCTTCCTTGCAAATTTGCTGTCATCGGGTGCTGAGGGAGGCATTTTTACAGTTGTAAAGTAAAAAATTAAGTGACAAAGCAATTTGTCAGAAAAAAATGTATAAAGTTGTAATTTGTGATTCTGATTTGTACCCATCTTTAGTAGTATTGCCATTGTTTATATGTGTGTGTATGTGTGTGTGTGTGTGTGCGCGCGCGCACACACAGAATTTGAGTTGTAAATTAGGCCTCTTGGAAAATCAGCACTGTAAGAATTAAAATGTAATTCTGTGGACCCAAAATTTGAGTTGTACATTAGGCCTCTTGGAAAATCAGTAGTCCAGTGAGCACTGGAAGAATTAAAATGTAATTCTGTGGACCCAAGCAACACAGAATAAATAAGAAATCCCGTTTTACGTTTGGAAGCAATGGTTCCAGTCGCAGGAGCTCCATCTTAGATTTTCAGGCCTCCTGACCAGGATCCCAGTATCGGGGAGGAGAAGCAGGACTTCGGTATTGATGCAAAGCATACCCAGTCCTCATTCATGTTTCGTTCAGGGGAATACTTGCACTAGCCATGTTCTAAATAAACTAAAACCAAAAATAAGAAGTGTGGCAAATTGCCCCTCTCTCCTGCAGTATTTTCACCCATGTTCTTTTTTTTCTATCTTCCTATAGTCCTAGACAGCACACAGTTTCAGGAAGTGGATGAGAAAAGGGAATCATATGTGCATGAATTGTTACACCACTGACTCCTTATCTAAGGGGTACATGAACAGAAGCATGCTTCTGAATTGGATTTATACTTAGTCATGTTTACAGATGATCTGTTGGAATCAGTGGAATTTAAATTCACAGTGACTATTTGTCTAAATGATTTCAGTGGGGCAACTCAAGTATAGCAGAGTGAGGATCCAGTCCATGTTACATAGAATCTTGCTAGATCACAGTTAGATTGCTGGTTAAGAATGTTCTGATATCTTCAAATTTGTATTAGCCTTAATAATACAAAAATAAAAATAACATCATGAATAAGGAGTGTTAGATGCATAGATGTGGAGTTGGAATACGTGTAGATGATATTTACTTCCGTAATTGTTGAATAAACCCTGTGGCTTCTGAATGGCACAGTTCTAAGCAGAGCTTAGGATTACTTTTCAAAGGTAGCTTTCATGGTACTTGCTTCAGTAGATACCCCATTATCATTGCCTGGATTTCAAAGTTGCACTCTTATCACATGGCTTTATTATTTAAAGTGAACTGGTACATGTGTTCTATTTTTTAAAAAAATCTGATAATAAGGGTCCCATATCACTTGAAGCAATGCAGGTCCCTCTCTCTTCCTTCTCTACTGACTTTAGCACAGCTCTGGAACATATCCAAGCCACAGGTAACCTTCACAAAATGCATGGAGGCAGTTATTGTGCTCAAGGGAAGTTGGATACAATACCTCCCACATTGCTTTTGCAGTGTAGCTGGTTGTTGGGAAAGGCATATAAGTCATCTGTACTCCTTGCTCATGTCTGAAACCCTATTGCTTAGTATAGAAAGTCATGCTAGAGTAAGTCCATTGAATCAGTGGGGATTTGGTGAATCAGCTCTGTAAGTTCCCTTGATTCAAATGGGCCTACTTTAGCAGCAAGTTACTATACTAAAGTAAGTCATAACTAGAGTAGGCTATTTGAATCTGTGGCTCACAAAGACCACAAATTCAGTAGATCCACTCTAGTGCAACTTAGACTTATGTTAAGGAACAAGACTTTAGCCAATGAGTAATGGTAAAAATATTAACTTGTAATGA